CTATGCTAGCATTTTAATCATAGAAAAAAGTATAGCAACAATCCCCAATTCTTATCACAATCCTAATCTTTTCAAGGTCTACTATTCCATAAATATTTAATTATTCCAAACATTTCATTCATTTCCTGAAATAATCTTCTTGAAAATCCAACTAAGTCACAAATTTTAGATTTATAGATCTAATAAAGATATTTTAGCCCATTTCTTGGTGTATATAACATCTGTCTTTTAACTAGAAAATAAACAATAAAACAACCAACTTGTACATCATACTTTCAATGGCTTAAGCAAAGGACATACCACAAATGGTATAACACTCAATTTTATATCTCCATTTAATGAAACTATGAAATAAAAATTCATTATAAATACCTCTATTATGTATATAGCATAATCACTCCCAGGTTTGCTTCTTTCAGTATGTTGAAGGCCAAAGGTCTCAATACTGTGGGCAAGTGGCAAAACCTGGCCCTGTCAGGGTTATTTCTTTAAAAATACTTACCATTGTGAATGAATGTTGCAAGGTTCACATAAAATTCTTTGGTGGATTTGCTTTAAGAAGATAACTAAAAACTTAACCAAAGTTTGAGGCAAGAAATTACGAATTCCAAATGAATTTGTTGCTATTCAGTAGCAGAGCCAAGTCCTGAAGGATGCTACTTCTGTGGTACTATGGAAAACCTTCAAAATGTACAAGGTGTTTGTTTCAATGTGCAGGCTAAGGCTTAGAAATAATTCCTTGCATCTGCCTGATTTCATGGTAGAGACAAATACAAAATTCTGATGCTGTGTCTTTTAATGACCATTTAGAATCATTAAGCTTTGCAAAATATTTAACAATATAAATTCACAGTACATTTATATTGTTACCCAGAAGATCAACTAGTAATAAATAAAAATGTTCAAAGTGAATGCATGCTCACCAATTTTTTTTTTTTTTTTTGAGACAAAAGTCTTACTCTGTCACCCAGGCTGGAGTGCAGTGGTGCAGCAGTGTGACGGTGTGATCATGGCTCACTGCAGCCTCAACCTTCTGGGTTCAAGTGAACCTCCCACCTCAGCCTCCCAAGTAGCTGGCACCACAGGCGCGTGCCACCACACCTGGATAATTTTTGTATTTTTTTTGTAGAGATGGGGTTTCACCATGTTGCCCAAGGCTGGTCTTGACTCCTGAGCTAAAGCAATCCTCCTGCCTAAGCCTCTTAAAGTGCTACGATTACAGGCGTGAGCCACCATGCCCAGCCAGCAATCTTTAGAGATAGCAGAATATATTAAGAAAGAGTGACCTAATTTACAAATACGCTTTAAAATCTTACAGCATTGAAAATACAGAAAAAAATTACATTGGTTCGAAATGTGAACATATACTTTTGGGATATGGTTTCATATGAATGACTCTGAAGAAATGACATCCATGACAACCATGAACAGTAATACTTAGGTGATCAACGTTAAATAGATTTTGGCCTCCTTACTTTTCTTAAGACATCTATTATCTAAGATTTTAACTAATTATTAATACATTTTGGAGGGTATGCTATGATAATAGTTTTAAAAATTAGTATTTTAAATTTTAAAATAAAATTATCAAACAAAAAAGACATCTTGTTATCAGAAAATACTCTCCAGAAAGGGATTATGTTTCTAAAAGATAACTTCTTTTACTGGAATAATTTAAAGTTTTAGAAATTTATAGCATAAAATCACTTTCTTGATTGCAAACCTCTTATTTACACCTTCAATGTTGGTCTTTTCTTTTAATATGCTTAAAAATATATTTTTTAAATCTTCCAATGAATTACTTAGATATTCTAAGAAACACTCCATTTATTGAGCACCTATTATGTGGTAGACACTGTGCTAAATATTTTAAGTACATTAAATCACATATTTACAATGACTGCAGTTATAACTTCCTTTGCTAGGAAAAAGGATAGAAGACAAATTCTTTTTCATTGCTTTCCTTTTTTTCTTCTGCTTATACTTCTCAAAAAAAAAATTAAAAATTTCACTCTTGGCTTTCTTCACATGTCATATAAAGCCATTGTGATTGGACAATGTTTTTCCTTTAAGAAACAAAAGCTTAAGAGTTCATGTTTTCAATTCTTGAAAATGTAAAATGAAAAGCATTTAGAAAGCATTTAAAATAACAAAAAATTGAGCTATTAAATTCCAAATTGACTCAAGGATAGCTCCATGGATAAACATGTCTATTTTAATTGGTTCTAAATACTTCTCTGAGCCCTCAGCAAATTCTTACTGGTCATTCCTTACTTTTCTCTGACTTACTGAGGTTTTATTATAACTGATGAGTTTTAAGGCTATACCTTGTTGATCTTTATTCACCCCTTCCTGTCTAACTCCTCCCCTCCACCCAATGGGCAATATTATACAATGTAGGTAGTTCAATCAGTCAATGCAGATTTGAATAACTGATCTTAAAAATCAGACACTAATTGGAAAAATATTTTATATCAGTATATATAACCTTACTAATAGGTTGATTCCTGAAACGTAAATTCTGTAAACCAAATCATACTTTTATCCTTAGAAAATGTGGTCTAGATTCACACTTGCAAATGCTATAAACTTTCTTAAAAGTCACACATTTAGAAAGACAAAAACTGTATTTTCTAATTAAGAAAGTAAAAATTATTTTGAAATGAAGCAAGTACAATACCATAAAACATGTTTTCTTTGGTCTATAGCCAAGCAAGTAGAAGACAAGCCCTCAAGGTTGCATGCCTCTTGAAAAATGGGAATTTCCTGCATTTTCTCTATATTAATCATAAAACCTTTGACTATATGACCAGATGTATATTTCCTCTATTTCAAATTTCCTTTCCTTAAACACAGACAGAATTGCTAGTGAGGTTAGGAAAGTTCCTAATGAAGACAGGAGCATATAAGATAATGGGTGCTTAATAATGCACTATGGCTCATTCATCCATTTGTCTGTGTGTTCATTTTCTTCATTCATTCATTCATCAATTATTTATTAAGTGTCAACTATGCAAAGACAGTGTTGTAGATGCTGGGAATACATTAATGAACAAAACACAAATAAACCCTGCCCTCATGGAGCTTACATTCTAGTTCCTCAAAACAGATCTCCAGCTAAAATGTAAGTATTCAAATTTAAGAGGAAAGCTTTTTTGAAGGCTCCATTAGTCAGATGCCCAGGGAATGAAGGTTACAATAAGTACTTAACATGGGCTAATCTGTTTACTTTCATCAAAATTAAGACCAACATCCTGGTTAGTATAACAATTCCCTTGAATTTTAATTTATACTTCACTTCTAATTTTCCTTAATTTTCACTAACATTTCTGACAAGTTCTAGTTCCTTGAAGAGAGGAAAAAAGAGATAATCCTTTTTTAACTTCTAACCTAATTGGTGATCAATAGGCCCTAATCAAGTGATGGTCTTCATAACAGCAATTATTTGTCATAAAATAATCTATCTCAAAATTAAAGGACTGTTTGCCACTCCTGCCTCTTGTGACTTAATCACTGACCAGGGATGCCAGTACTCGAAATAGTTTGTTGATCTATTTTGCTTCGTATCTTAACTTTTTCCCTTTTTAATGTCCCATTAACTGGACTTCTGCTTGATAATCAGCATTACTATGTGGTAAAGGTTATCATTACAAACTAGATTTTCCCTTTGGCAGAGGTGAGAGCTAATTTTTACTTGGCATTGCTGTCACGCAGTTACTGTTAATGTGTTCTAGACCCTTTTTCCTCTAAGCTCTGAATTCTTGCCTATGCCTAACTTACTCTCTCTAACCAAAATCCAGGGTCAGGATCAGTTATCACGGGTAATTTGAATTCTTCTAAATTTAACATGGCCAGCCGCAACTGTTGCCAGGCTCAGTGATCCTCCATCTTTTCTTGGGCTTCTTCTCCCTCTTCATGTCACAGCCAATGGCAGTATTTTTCACTCTCACCTGCAGAACTCTTTCCACCAGCACCACCCTCCTTCACTCTAGCTGACAGGACATCATAATAAATTAAGAAATCTTCAAGTATGCCATAGAGTAATAAAGGATACAAAGTTTGGAATTAGAATACCAATTTTGCTCCACACAGGATATATAAAGATCCAAACAAATTAAAGAAAATGTCACTCTGTGTATGATTTCTGCATTTTCATTTATATATTTATTCAACAAATATTTCTTGAGTGCTTATTAAGTTCCAGGGAATGCCATATATACAGTTGGTTTTATTTTGGTGGGAATACACCAACACTGCTTCAAAGCAGGGGTGGTAAATCTCCGATCTACAGGTCACATTCCATCTCCAGCTTAATTTTGTCTGGCTCAAAGAGAAGGTATCAAGAAATGAAAACACAACAGACCTTTAGAAGTCTTTAGAAGCAGTAAGAGAGACACAATTCTATGAAGCGAGGATGGTGTCCCTCTCCTTTACCACTGTGTATAACTCTCATTGTCTCTACTTCATTCTGCCTCCTTTCCTTAAGTGGCCATCAACAAGGCACTAGGATATATATTATTTACTAAATGTATTGAATTATGTTCCCAATTTTAATTTAAATGGCAGACCAACTGAACTTTTTTTTTTTTTTTCTGAAACAAACTTTTTGCTGCTTTTTGAGGGGGAGAAGTAGGGATGGGGGGAAGTAGACCTACAGTCCTTTAAATTTCTTTCAGAGATTCTCCACTCATTAACTCAGTTTCTCCACTCAGTGACTTGGTTAACTGAAATTCCATCTTGGCAATCATAAATATTGCATTTAAAAAAAAATCAAACAATAAACATTGTACTTTAAGGATCTACACAAAAAATACAATCAAGTTCATAAGACATAAGTGTAAGTAAACAAGAAATAAATATTTCATGGAGAAAGTAAATAAAAATCTATCCAAATAATTATTTCAACAACAACAAAAAAAGAAATAGAAATGCACTCAAAAGAAAAGTGTTAACATTTATCATGTTTTATACACTGAAAATAAAAATTTTCCACTCCTATGGCCAGTCTTCAAGCAGATTTTATCACAAAATTATAGTTTCCATTTTACAATCTCTCTTTAGTAGTTACTATGAACTATAAATTAACCAAACACTTAATTTTCCCAGAAATTAAATATCTTCCTAAAAATGCTATATAATCCCCATTACATAATATCACAGTAATCTTTGCTTTACCACACAAAAAAACTATGATTAATAATTATAACTTTTTCTTTATTTGTCATCTTTCTACAGAAACGATCAGTAGTTAGCCTTACCAGGAAATTATACACATTATGAATACAAGTTTTAATAGACTACTGATTAGACTGTCATGTTGCAAGTATTTCTAGAACATGATATCACAAATTAAGTCATTAATTCCAAAACAATGGTTTATTAACAAAAAAGTACAAAGAAGCACAAATGGATATCCTATTTCCCATTGTAGTCCATCTATCTATCTCCCTATCAGTCCATGAGATGGCTTTTTAGAGCTGTAAGAATGGGAAAATACTTCGCCTGTGTCTAATGGCCCCTAATAACTATCCAAATCCAAATAACTGTGTATTTAAGTTATACAGACCAATTTTTAAACAATGTTTAAATCTACTGTTATAACATCATCTCCCCTTGCAATACACCACCTACCTAAACTGAACATCAGCGCCAACATCCACAAATCATATATCATGTCACTAGTATGTTTGTCTTGAAATAAGTTTATAAATGAAAACTTAGGTGTATCAAAAATGATATTCATAAGGATGTACTAAAAACATTCAAGTCAAAACATCTTGTTAACTGAACTAAAGTGAAGCACATGGAAACATTCAATTTATTATTGTGCTTTTTGCATTGATTTTAAATCAAAGCTACTCACACATCAAATCTTATTGCTATTACTTCAGTTTCTTCAAGAAATGATTCATTTTTCAAGTTATTTCAACAAATGTAAGGTTGTTCCATACTCCTCTTTCTACAGGCCTCAAGTACTTCTCTGAATCATGGTAAACTCTAATACTTTGTGATTTCTCTCACAGTGCTCCTTAAAATAATAACACAGATGGGGAGATTCAGCAAATAATAACCAATTTGCTCTTTCTGCTATGGCTCCTCAAGACAGAACATGTGGTTTTACTCTCTGATGGTCCTGAAAGCCTTGTGTAGAATTTATTAGGTTATACGTGTTTCTGAGTGGTAAGTTCCAGCTTTTTGGTTTGTGGAGGGAGCCAGGTCAGAGCTTAGTTACCACTATACTCCTCACCTAGAAGTATTCTTATCAAGAACATGAGTTCAGTGTTAAACTAGGCTTTAGTAACAAAAGGGTGCTATAGCAGTGCATACATTTTTTGGGGAGCTGGAAAATTCAGATGACCACTCACTAAACATAAAATCATCATTCCACAAAGATTTTATTGACATTAAACTTGCACAGTAGCAAAAAAAAAAAAAAAATCAAAACATAAAACTAAGCCACATATCAAAGAACAATATACAATAGAGATTTGAATTTCTCAATAGCATTAGAAGGTATTTCCATAAATAACATTTACAATTCTAATGTTAGGACTTTCAAGGTGTCTGAAGCTTCACAGTGCTAGAATTGATTTTTATCAGAACACATGCAAAAATGTGCAACATAATAATTCATATTAATGACACACAAAAAAAGCACGCCAGTTATTTGTCATTCCAGCACGGCCATGCCACTCTATGTTCTAAAAACAAACAACCCCCCAAATCCGGGTCCCATTCATTCTTCAATTATGCCTTTAGTCACTCTGCTTTATTATATTCAAACAGTCACTGTTAGTGCTCTTCACCACGACTTTCAGGTTGACGTCACTCCCTGCCTGCTGGCTGTCAGGACTGGGGGACGCCCCTCTCCCAGACTCACCTTCTTCCGGATGTCTTCATCATTTGCTCCGAGAGAGGCATAGAGCTTGAATGCAGCCTGGCGGAGTTCATGAGCATGTTTTAAATCATGATCAAGCTATGGGGGAAAAAAGGATACGTTCCAACTCAATCCATTAATTAAACTTTCAATAACATTAACTGAGTTGAAGAAAAAAAAAGTTAACAACTTTTAGATTTTAGTGAATTTCCCAGTCATTAACTACATTTCCCAGTTATTTTTGGATTCTGTTCACATAGAACTGAGACCTTGTAGTGTCTGTATCAATGTGGCCTAAAATGCACACAGTATGCTTTTATCTAAAAGTGAACACTACAATTGACACTGATATATGAAAAACCATTGTGAATCTCTGACTCCTAAAAATTCAGTGTTCCTAAATGGTAGCTTTAGTGGCACTAATGCTTGCTTGCAGGAGCTCTTTGAAATGTTCTCCTCAAAAATAACGCACACCTAGACTTCTCTAGCCCCAGACTACAGCTGATATAGCCTAAGTGATACTGCAACAATGTCTTTAGGAGGTTTTCCTTAATTTTCTCAAACATTAAGAGTGGAGCTGGCCTAATTTGGGCATTTTAAAAGCATTTAGAAACAGGGAACCCATTGTGAAAACCCTTAACAAACCATATACTATGGTAATCATTACTATGTATTACAGTTACCTGAGATTTATGTTGAATATGGTTTTTTTTTTCTTTCAAGAATATTATCAAAATTATCAGCATGAAGCAATTAATGCTATCTTTATACATGCATAACTGGCTAATTATCAGCTCTTCTATAAACTTGATCTATCACCAAACTACTGTAAAATAAAAACAGAAGCTTATTTTCAGGATACTTTCAATGACTATCATCAAGTAACTATACAAAGTCTACCAATAATGTAACCATCCAAATGAGTACCACTTTTCCCAAAGTTACTTTCAAAAGGTTCACTCATCCAGTAATGCAGGTGTTATTCATAACATTCTGAGACTCCTTTGTGAAACTTTCTAAAGAGCTAACTGGTATTATTAGCTAGAAAACACCAACAGTGGTACAGCTTGATCAACGATGAGAATTTTAGTTGTCACTGACTGTGTGTGAAGATGGAGAAATCCAGTGGGGTAATATAATGTGGGTAACAAAAAACTCCACAAAAAGCAAAAGACAATATATATATTTTACAAATATATATATAATTTGGGGTGGCTCTCTGGAGGCAATTCTTAACAGTTCCAAAACTTCTGTTCAAAGCAGACGCTGATGAATTATAGGAAGAACTTCCTAATACAGAACACTCATTTGGTAAGTTCTGAAATTATCTGCTCTTAAAGTCTTAACTACATTCTAGTCATAAATTAAGATATGATAATACTGACTTGAACTAATGTATCATGAAAATCACAAATTTATTAATGTGAAATTTTCTCTTTATGGGTCTAGTGTCCATACTTTTGGGGTCAGAAACCTTTGGATAATGCATCATCAAAAATAAAGTTGACAAAACAAACTATTACTCAAGTTTGGTATAAGGAAGTCTTTTTTTTTTTTTTTTTTTTTTTTTGAGACAGTGTATCGCTCTGTCACCCAGGATGGAGTACAGTGGCACGATCTTGGCTCACTGCAAACTCCACCTCCCGGTTTAAGTAGTTCTCTGCCTCAGCCTCCCGAGTAGCTGGGGTTACAGGCATGTGCGACCATGTCCGGCTAATTCTTGTATTTTTAGTAGAGACAGAGTTTCACCGTCTTGACCAGGCTGGTCTTGAACTCCTGACCTTGTAATCCACCCATCTTGGCCTCCCAAAGTGCTGGGATTCCAGGCATGAGCTACCACGCCTGGCCAAGGAAATCATTTTTAAGGATTATTGTTGTTACAGTTTTACTCTGATGCAAATGAAATGGAAAAACTAACAGAAGGGATAATCTACGTATTAGTTAAATGATTTGCATATGCATAGGCTACATGTTCATAAAACAATGGTTCCTTACTCTCATGGTCATTAAAACATTTTATTTGCCTTCCTGGGATGGTTGACTCAGAGTGTTCATGAGGGAGTAGTTAAAAGTTGCTCATGTATTTTTGTATTAATAATACAGTGTCAGTGTGAACAAATGACCAGAAGGAAAACAGACAAGGCAACTGGTTAAATGTATGTAATCCATCACTTCTACTGAAAAAAACACCACTACTGAAAGAAGAGCAGACACATAAGATTAATACCCAGAGGGTAGAGTACATACTAATGGAAATACCAATGAAGGTTATTTTATGCCCTTCTTAACACAGAGTAAAGATATTCCCTTAATAGTTTGCTTTATTTTCAATGTTAAAGGCCAAATGAACAACTGCCTACCAGATGAGGCTTTCTGAAACTCAAAAGCATGAGGGAGAAGTCAAAAGGAAAACAGTTACCATTGGAACCACTGGCATGAAAAATATAGTTACATTCATGAAACAGTACTGGCTACTAATTAAGAGGTAATGCTTTCTCTACCATGACTTCCTTGAATAATTTTTCTCTTATAGAATGTTCCTCTCCTATGCTTAGAGAAATGGATATGGCAAACAGGCTGGATGCAACAAGTCAAAAGAAATATCTACCTATTCTAAGGAACTTAGGTTTTCAGGAAAAGCACAATTTGGTCCCTGATGTTCCCATATTTGAGATTAAATGATATTTTAGCCTGTCACATATGGGCCCAAAGCACAGTATGAAACTGGAAAAAAGAGAAGATAGGGAATAGTAACAAAACAGAAAGACTGTGGCAAAAAGTAACACGGGACAACTTACGTCTCCTGTAACAAAAGATTACACCTGACCTAAAGAATGAGAATATAACAACAGAGGATTCTGTGACCATGAATAAGATTATAAAGTTATGTCAATACCTAGCTTGGAGAATCAACTACTTTTGACGTTTAGTTGGGAGTTAGGATGCAATTTTCTCTTTTTTTTTTTAAGAGACATGGTCTTGCTATGCTGCTGGGCTAGAGTGCAGTGGCTATTCACAGGCATGATCCCACTACTGATCAGCATGGGAGTTTTGACCTGCTGCGTTTCCGACCTGGGCCGGATCACCCCTCCTTAGGCAACCTGGTGGTTCCCTGCTCCCGGGAGGTCACCATATTGATGTCGAACTTAGTGTGGACGCCTGATTGACATAGCCCAGAACTCCTCGGCTGATCCTCCCACCCACCCCAGCCTCCCGAGTAGCTGGGACTACAGGTACGTGCCACCATGCCCAGCAGGATGCAATTTTCTTTACTGCTTATCTGCTCAGTAAAAACTTTCTCACAATAAACATTATTCAACTTGGATTCAAAAACTCACAAAGCAATATTATCTACGTCAGCAAAGATAAAAGATCCTTTATTTAAAAGGGCTTTGAGCTGTAGTTATCAATTGGTTCAAAATTGTGAACAGTAAGAAAAACTTTATAAAAATAATATCCTTTGAGCTGCTAAAAAAGGAAGAGAACATACCCTTTTAATATCAGTGATGGCACTCACAGAGCTGGGATACTTGAAATAATCAGCAAGCATAGCAATGAGGTGATCCGTTATGCTAGCGATTCTCTGTAGCTCAACATCTGGTTCAATCAGATAGGCAAGTGTCTCGGCTCCTTCAACTCTCTCCTCTAGCAATCTCTCCTTACTGCACATTCGAACCAAACAAGGTAATGTCTGAAAGGTAGTGAGATTATTTGCTTTTTGGTACAGGTAAAAGCTTAAGCATATAGTGACTGAATCAACTCAATAACTTTTATCAGGAGTAATGTTTGTGATCAAGTATTTCCTTTACTGACTTCCAGAGAATAAAATATTTTTTAAAATGCAAAAACAAGCAAAATTCAGTACCAATAATCATTTGCACTGGTACACTAAACTCTATTCACACATCAAAGTATATTAATACAAATTCTAATTAGGCTTTTGGGGCCGATAAGACAAGTTTTATTGTACAGCTTTATAAAAGACATTTAAGAATCCCTAACAAATCATGTGTGATGGTTCTGCTCCATCTATCTTCTGATTTACCTAAAAGAGATCCAGCAATTTAATCACAAACGATTTTGCCTTAGAAAAAGTATGCTATATTTTCATTAGTGAGTAATATGGTTTATGTTTTAGAGATTCATATCTACAGTTGCCAAAACAAAATACAGCTTTAAAACTGCAGTGATCGGCTGGGTGCAGTCGCTCACACCTATAATCCCAGCACTTTGGGAGGCCGAGGCGGGCAGATCACAAGGTCAGAAGATTGACACCATCCTGGCCAACATGGTGAAACCCCATCTCTACTAAAAATACAAAAAAATTAGCTGAGTGTGGTGGCACACACTTGTAGTCCTAGCTACTCAGGAGGCTGAGGCAGGAGAACTGCTTGAACCCAGGAGGTGGAGACAGCAGTGAGCCAAGATCACGCCTCTGCACTACAGCCTTGGTGACAGTGCAAGACTCCGTCTCAAAAAACAAACAAACAAAAAAACCCCTGCAGTGATCTTACCATTACTCATATTCCACCAGTTCTACTATAATGCAAGTGAAATGTACCATTCACAGGTGCTCGGTTTTTCCAAGAACTTGCTGGAATTAGCAGTGGTATCTACTAGTCCAATTTTACTTCTGAGATCCTTCAAAAATCTTGGCACTGGTTTTGGTAACTTATCTACGTTAGGTTCTCGATAAAAATATTCCAGACGTTTACTATGTCTAAGCCTGATGAATTCACTTGAAAGGACAATGTGGAAGTAGGAACTGAAATGTTACAATTATAGAAAGTGTTCCTCAAATACTGCAGGTAACTAACTGTGCTTTGCTCTTTTACATACAATAAGTTCCTATTATATACTTTACCATAGAGTTTGGCACTTTATTGTTCACTACTGATTTCCTGTTAGGCTAGTAGAAGCTTTACACTTCAACCCTAGGTTTCCAAGGAGAAGGCCCTATTCTTTTTTCCCTAACATTACTAGTTACTAACATTTATTGATACCATAAATTCATGAATTATTTAATTTAATGCTCATGACTACTACGTGAAGAATTATCTATTAACATTTTGCCAATGCAAAAAAGAGGAAGGTTAGAGAATTAAAGAAACCAAGATAATTGTCATGGAAGTCCATGGCACCCTATGGAGAGTTGTTTACTTAGGGGGTCCTCAGATCTCATTAAATTAATTCTCTTCCCCAAAGACTAAAGCAAATATTAATTTTCTTCATGCTCTTTTATCCTTGGGATCACCTTTTGAACAATGATAATGTGAGATCTCATATTTAAAAAGACATGTTCAATTTATTTATACTTAATTTTTATAGCTAATAAGACATTTTAATGTATTTAACACATTTTTTTCCTCACAATAACCTTGTGGCATAGATGAGCAGGAATTATTGTTTTAGTTTTCAAAATCCACAGTCCGAGGCATCAAAAGAATAAAGGATGTTCAGCCAGTCCGTGGTGGGAGTGCTAAAACCAGAATGCAGGTTTTAGGACTTTTAGGACTGGTCTTTTTTCTAGGTTTTTCAAAGTTCGAGTGGCATTTGACATATCACAATGAAAATTCTTGTTTTCATGTGTTACCTACTTATTCTCTCTCAGCATGTCTTTTGATTATCAGCTATGAGAGTGATATAAAGTCTTTTTCTGCAAAAGTGGTAAATTGTCTGCCTCTAAAACTGTAATACAAATTTAATGACAATCAAGAATGAAATATATTTCTATTTCACCTGAATTGTACACATTTTTACAATTTCCACATCCTCCTAATTACCATAAAATGAAAAGGCTGTGACAATAAGACAATTATTTCATGTTGATTTTCAAAACACATCTAAAATCAATTTTTAAAAACTATATGACATCCACTGAAAAGAAAGCATGGTCTTTTAATATTATTCTATGTCATGCACACATACAATAATGACAAATGTGTAAAATGAAATATAAGTATTGATACTGATATTTAACACATAACTGAATAATTTTTACATTTTAAAGATAATTAACTAGCTTACCTTTAATACAATACAGTTATCATCTGTCCGAATTGCTCCAGCTCTACACATGTAAGTTAAACTGGAATAAGACAGCAGAAAATAAGTTTTTGCTTGGGGTTTAAAACTTTAAATGAAAAATTACTTGTCTTTAAGATTTCATTAAAAAAATTAAAACCAAATAATATCACTTATCTTGAGGGAGAAGATTTTGACAAGGATGTTCAGTTAATTTAACCGTCAAAGATAACTGACAAATACAGATGGTAAGTCAGATATTTAAAAAACCAAAACCCAAACCAAAACCGAAACCTACCAAATAGTTTTAAAAATAAATAACCTAATGAGTGGATACATTTTGAAGCTAGGTGTTGGGCCCATGTTGTATTCTTCATACTTTAGAATTTTCCATAATAAAAAGGGAAAAATGTTCAAAGTAAAACATAAGATTAACATATTATCTCAGTTTAAATGAAGTTAAGCTGGAGTATTCTAACTCCAAATGCAGTAGAAGTGTCACAGAAGAGGCATTTAACCTCTAACACAACTACCCATCAGAAATGAAAAATTGAGAGGTTAACAGCAGTGGCTTTGGGAATGAGTCAATAATTTGGTTCTACGGAAAAATAACTTATCATAATTATAAACTGCCTTTGAATAAGAATATAATTAATTTGTATTCCCTAGGCAGCCACTGAACATTAAGCACTTCAGATATATAAATTAATAAATTTCCTTCTGATTACATTCCTTTAGCAAGATAGGGAAAAAAATAACATCTCATGTTTGGCTTCTACAGAAAGTTATAAACAAATAGGTAAAATTATTTTACTTATACTGCAGAGGGCTGAAATATTTGTAGCTGTTATTATCTTGAGGCTTGTTACCATATTGTTTTTCTGAAACCATTTACTTGAGGATATTACTTTACTGACAGAGGCAAATGCTCAGTTTTAAAGACAAAAAGCAAGCAAACAAAAAATACAAATAAACAAAAACCAAACAATTATGATACATGAATAATTGAATGAAAATTCAAAATTCTCACCAAAATATTAGAACCACAGCTTCTTAAATACTTAGCATAGGCCCCTACACAAGTGCTCCACACATCCATTCATATATTGATAATTACAGAACATGCACTGAATGCTCATATGAGCCAGAAATTCTGCTAATAAAAACTTTGTGGCCAGGTGCAGTAGCTGATGCCTGTAATCCCAGCACTTTGGGAGGCCGAGATGGGTGGATCACAAGGTCAGGAGTTTGAGACCAGCCTGACCGACATGGTGAAACCCTGTCTCTACTAAAAATACAAAAATTAGCCAGGCGTGGTAGCGCGTACCTGTAATCCCAGCTATTCAGGAGGCTGAGGCAGGAGACTTGCTTGAACCTGGGAGGTGGAGGTTGCAGTGAGCTGAGATCGGGCCACTGCACTCTAGCCTGGGCAACAGAGCAAGACTCCATCTCAAAATAATAATAATAATAATAATAATAACTTTGCATAAATATCTTACAAACCATCACAATTTTATGAGAATTTTGTGTGTGTGTGTTTTTTTTTTTCCTTGAAAGATGGGGAAGCCACATTCTCTGAAATCATCCCTTGGTTATCAACTTCAATAAATTCTTACTCCGTATTTCTGTATCTTTGTATTTACCTGGCTTAATACTTTAGCATAGTATAGCTGGTTTAATCTAATCTAATTCAGTATTATTTCAACTGAAGTACAAGAACAGTAGCTTGAGGATGTAATAAAGTAATTTTCTGAAGACCATCTCAGATATTATACGAGAGTTCCTGTTTTGCATACTACTGGTAATAAGCTGAGTCTAAAAAACTCATATCCATTTAAGAAAATGTGGAACAGCTCCATGACTTTCAAATTTCAAACTCCCCAAATAAAATGGGGATTGGGAGCAAGCAAATTTGGCTGTCCAAAAATACTCTAAGATATTGATAAACACTGTCTTTCTTCCCACATTGTCCTGATTTTTACCATTTTGCTGATGTGAGCTGCATCTCAATAGGCTTATCCCTCTGTAACATCTTCACAAAAATCTGTGGTAACAATTCTCCATCAACCAAAACTAGAAATAAAACAAACAATCATTAAGTAAATTCTTTAAATCTACAAAGTTCATCAATTAAATCATGTAGGTGCCACTGAAAGATCCAGCCTACCATTTACCAGGGTCATCGATACCTGGGGGTTTTCAAAAGCTAAAACTGAGAAACATTTCAGTGCTTGCATTCGAACCTGTAAAAATAAATGAACAAACAAACAAAAAATGTGTTTATTTTAATTTTGCAAATGCAAATTTTAATGTCTCAGAATCTAAACTCTTCTAAAAAAATTATGTAAATCTGCTTAAAATAATAACAGGCCTCAAAGAAATAACTATAACACCAGTATATCTGAAGAGTACAGTAAGTTAAAATTAATTATAAAAGTTAAAATTAATTTTGAAGTAACAGAAAAAAAAAAAACCAATGAGGAAGTAGCAATTTAAATTTAACCAGATAAATCCCCAAAGTTAAAAGAGCACTGTACAAAATACAGTTGGTAAGATAAAAAGAACAAGAGAACTTAGTATCAATTAATTACCAAGTGACTTTCAAGGCAATAAATACATAAATAAACTACTCTTATGCATGGGATGGAGAAAGGGAACAGAAGGAGAGGAAACAATGTTATAATAAATTTGAGATGCACTAAACTAACTTTGAAAACACCCATGAATTGTGCTACTATTCCTCAGAACTAGGTTACTGGTTTGGGACAATACCAAGGGTCCAATCTCTTAACCATATATAATATGCTTTACAATTTTCAGAAGCTCCTAAGTGATCTGTTATTTTTTATTCTTTTCAGCTTTTACTAACCTCATCTTCATTTCTAAGCCTGAGTCTACAAATGATGTTTTAATGTGGAACATGAGGTTGACAAGCACTCACCAGATAGGTAGCTGGGGTATGAAGATGCCCTGCTCCTCATCTAGGCAATGCTCTGCAGCACTAGTATATATTAGTGCACAGGAGGAACACAGACTATATTAATGGCACTTTGGCAATATACCAAACCTTGGCAGAAAGTAATGTCACCAGACTAGTCCCCTTTCCACAACCTGTAGGTTTTTCAAATCATAATAGTAAATAAGGAAGTCTAGTGCAGAAAAGATAGGAGAAATGGAAGAGCTGGGGGAATTAATGAAGCCAAAGGAGGTGAAGTAAAGGAACAATAAATAGCCACCCAAACAACTGTTTCTTGATGTGCAAGGGCTGACTGGTTTAGCCTCTGCATAGCACAGGACAGAGGAAGTAGTTCTCAGTACATGTTTCTTTCCCCTGCCTCCAGCTAGTTTGAAGTTAGCTTCACTCACCATTTCTATCCTTATGAGCTCTTTACCAAGATTAAACTAGATAGCTGAGTTAAGGAAAACATACACATTAGCAGGTCCTACCTGAAATAAATTTAAAGACTAAAAGAGTAGAAGGGAGTCACTGCAAGAGGACAGAAGACAAACATGACTGCTTCCCTGCTCTGCAAGAAACTCCTACAATACCCAACTGTAATGTGACACAATAAGGACTATGTCCCAACTTTGGCTACAACTTGTAGATGGACAACAATGAATGGCCAAGGTTTTAACTCAACACCTGGTACTATATTACGACCCTGCATACTTTTATATATAAAAGACAATAAAGTAAATTTAAATAAGTCTGAAAACACCTTACTTTTTAACTCAAAATACAAAACATAACACATTTTAAATGTTGATGTTTGTGTGGGTATATGCTAAGTCTGAGACACTGTGGCTAAATAAAGGTCTCAAATATAAAATCCAAAGTCTTTCTTGATATAGAAACCCACTGCTTCTATACTTCAAGGCATTATGGCACTGGTACCTACCCAAAAAAGATTTGAAATCTATTTAATTGGTGCAAATTAGTAAGAACTCATGGTATAACCATATACTAAAAAAATAGAGATGCAAGGGCAGTTTTTTTTCTGTTTTAAAGAATATTCTAAAGCCTATAACATTTTACTTATAAAATACTACTTTTGATCACAATTATCAAAGAAGCAATAAAAATATGTGGGTCTCTTTCTAGAAATCACAAACAAGGTATAAAAATCTGGCCACAATTGTTAACATCTTACTTTGTAGGACAGTGAGGTTAGTAGGTGAGCAATATTCTGAACTGCACCATGATTAAATAAAATTGTTTGATGATCTGGCCCCTGTAAGAAAAGAGAATACAATAACACATTAAGAATAGTAACGATTCATTCCAATAAAACTACATTCACTATAGTACAGAATCCTGTTACTCTTGCTTAAATAAACACCTTCAAAAAGCAGGGTAGACACTGTTTTTGGTCCTGCAAGGGGCTACCATATCTTAACTCATTCCAGTTCTAGAAATGCTACCTCTTCACTTCCTAAAATACCGAAGTGGGCACAGAAGCTATACTGTCACAAGTCCTCTGCAATTATTAAATAGAACACTACCACAGCAATAGAGCCACGATGAATTCTGCATTTCATGTGCACATTATTGCCCTATGCCCATAGAAAACAGTGGCAGAGTCATTCTTACAACTTAGAAATGATAAGCTAGTCAGGAGGAACTCTAAAAATGATTTGTAAAAGGAACTGGACCACGGACTAACCTACCTTAACACATCAGAGAGGTCTGGATAATGCTATAGTGGGAAACACAACTCTCAGTAAATGCGAAGTGAACAATGTGTTTTTGTTTCCATATTTCTATCTGATTTCTTTTTTAAAAAGTATTGGTTTGGCCGGGCACAGTGGCTCAAGCCTGTAATGCCAACACTTTGGGAAGCTGAGGCGGGTGGATCACGAGGTCAGGAGTTCAAGACCAGTTTGGTCAGTATGTTGAAACCCCGACTCTACTAATAATACAAAAATTAGCCAGATGTGGTGGCGCACACGTGTAGTCCCAGCTACTCAGGAGGCTGAGGCAGGAGAATAGTCCGAAACCGGAAGGCAGAGTTTGCAGTGAGCTGAGATCATGCCACTGCACTCCAGCCTGGGTGTCAGAGTAAGACTCCGTCTCAAAAACAAACAAGCCCTTTTGGCTCTCTGAGCAGCACCATGGCGGTTGGCAAGAATAAGCGCCTTATGAAAGGCGGCAAAAAGGGAGCCAAGAAGAAAGTGGTTGATCCATTTTCTAAGAAAGATTGGTATGATGTGAAAGCACCCACTATGTTCAATATAAGAAATACTGGAAAGACGCTAGTCACCAGGACCCAAGGAACCAAAATTGCATCTGATGGCCTGAAGGGTCGAGTGTTTGAAGTTAGTCTTGCTGATTTGCAGAATGATGAAGTTGCATTTAGGAAATTCAAGCTAATTACTGAAGATGTTCAGGGCAAAAACTGCCTGACTAACTTCCATGGCATGGATCTTACCCATGACAAAATGTGCTCCATGGTCAAAATATGGCAGACAATGATTGAAGCTCATGTTGATGTCAAGACTACCGATGGTTGCTTGCTTCGTCTGTTCTGTGTTGGTTTTACCAAAAAACCCATCAATCAGATACGGAAGACCTCTTATGCTCAGCACCAACAGGTCCGCCAAATCCGGAAGAAGATGATGGAAATCATGACCCGAGAGGTGCAGGCAAATGACTTGAAAGAAGTGGTCAATAAACTGATTCCAGACAGCATTGGAAAAGACATAGAAAAGGCTTGCCAATCTATTTATCCTCTCCATGATGTCTTCGTTAGAAAAGTAAAAATGCTGAAGGAGCCCAAGTTTGAATTGGGAAAACTCATGGAGCTTCATGGTGAAGGCAGTAGTTCTGGAAAAGCCACTGGGGATGAGACAGGTGCTAAAGAACGAGCTGATGGATACAAACCACCAGTCCAAGAATCTGTTTAAAGTTCAGACTTATAATAGTGGCAAATAAAAAGTCTTATTTGTGAAAAACAAACAAACAAACAAACAAAAAAGTATTGGTTCAGCCAGGCACGGTGGCTCCTGCTTGTAATCCCAGCACTTTGGGAGGCTGAGGTGGGCAGATCATGAGGTCAGGAGATCAAGACTATCCTGGCCAACATGGTGAAACCCCGTCTCTACTAAAAATACAAAAATTAGCTGGGCGTGGTGGTGTGCGCCTATAGTCCCAGCTACTCAGGAGGCTGAGGCAGGAGAATTGCTTGAACCCGGGAGGTAGAGGCTGCAGTGAGCCAAGATCGCACCACTGCACTCCAGCCTGGGCAACAGAGTGAGACTCTGTCTCAAAAAAAAAAAAAAAAAAAAAAAAAAAAAAAAAAGTATCTATCAGTTCTTAAGAAAGCAGGAAGGTAAAGAGATAGGAAAACAAAGGGTTTTTTTTGTTGTTGTTGTTGTTGTTTTTATCAATTCTGTATTCTACTAATCAATGTACTAAAGAGCTTCAAAGTGACAGAAGCTAAAGTTAATGCAAAGCTACAAATTTGCCACAAATCTTATTCATTCATTTTATGTCCAACCTTATCCAATCAATTAATGAAAAATCAGTTAGAGCTAACAAAGGAATGATATTTCATGTTTATTATTATTCAGAAGAGAAAAATATCACAAAGGTAGGCTATCTGTCTGGGTTCACCAGAAGAAACCAGGTATTGGTCCAGCAAGAGCTCTCAAACCAATTTCTCCACCCCATTATTTAAGCAAGTAACAACTATTATGAAGATGCTCATTCTTTCTTGAGCCAAAACATCCATCATTTGAAGTGGGAAAATTAGCATTTATACTTCTGAAGAGCACAAGAGTCATATTCTATTTTATAGGTAACAATCTCCAAATATTTTATATATTATTAAAAGAATCCTTAAAAAATTCAGCAATTTGTCTCTTTTTCCATACTTTCTAACTTGGAGTTTCGTATTCTTAATACCAGTATAGTATTCTACAGTTTGCTCATGCAAACCCCCATTATATATTTTAGATAGTTTCTAATGTTTTACTGTTATAAGCAGCGTTTCGTTGAACATTATTTGAAGCTGCGTCTCAGTGCAAATCCTTAGGTTATGAGGATAAATTCCCAAAGTAAAATGGTGTAATACAGTTATTGTTACATATCCATCCAGAACGGTGCAAACCTGTTTTTGCAATAACTGAAAATACTGACATTCTCAGGGCATTGGTTTTAAGTGTCCTCCCTTTCCTCCCACCTCATCCATGCATCATCTGCAGTTGTAATTATAGGTACTGCTTACTGGATACATCCTGCTATGTGCCAGGCACTGCTCCAAACACTTTACATTCGTTGTCTCATTTGAAACAAAGGGGTCCCTGCTTCTTCATTATAAAAATACTGGTGAAGACTGAAGTAGGGGAGCCAAGGAAAATAGGGTCTTGTAAGGATTCAGCCCATTTTTTTCTTACCTAGTTACTAAATTGTGAAGATAAGCCTAAATTAGCTTCAGCTTATATCATCACACTAAGGATTTTTGAGTTCCTTAACAATTTTGACAACCCAGTTCAGACACTGGCAGAGCTTAACAAAAGCTAAGTAGGCATGGGTACTTGTTGCCTCAGCTTCTTGCACCTCATTGTTTTTCCACCTCTATCTGCAGCCAATCTGTTCTCCCACTTTGAGGTGACCCAATAGATTACATTTTCCAATACATTTTATACATATCCAGCAGATACATAAATGCATTCTTTTCCCCATTTTGATACAAATGGTAGAAGACTATATACACTGCTCTAAACCTTTTCTTCTTTATAATTTATCTCAGAGATCATACTTATCAGTACATAAAGAGTTTTCTCATTTATTTGTTGGCCTTATTCTATTATCTGAATGTTCTAAACTTTATTTAACTAGTACCCTATAGTTAGACATTTAGATTGTTTCCAGTCTTTTACTATTAATAACATCATTTCAACATATATCCATGTGATTTTAACTTTTTTTCTAAGATCTGAATAATTTATGGAATATCCTTTTTAAGTTATATTTATACGGATGGGGAAAAGATCAAGCACACAACAATTCTCTCTATATATAATTGTTTCCTGGTGCTGACAAGATACCTTGATTGCATAAAAGCAATTGCAAGGGGCCAGGCACAGTGGTTCATGCTTGTAATCCCTGCATTTTGGGAGGCTGAGGTGGGTGGATGTCTTGAGGTCAGGAGTTCAAGACTAGCCTGGCCAACACGGTGAAATCCTATCTTTACTTTTAAAAAATATAAAAATTAGCTGGGCATGGCATTGCACGCCTGTAGTACCAGCTACTCAGGAGTTTGAGGCAGGAGAATTGCTTGGACCTGGGAGATGGAGGTTGCAGTGAGCCAAGATCGCGCCACTGCACTCTAGCCTGGAAGATAGACTCTGTCTCAAAA